CATAGTTGATTTATCCATTAAAAATGGTGATTTTCCATAGTTATGTAAACGTTTACCAGAGGGTAAAACCTATTACATGATTAGATTGAAATACCAGATGCTGGATGAACATCCATGTGGCTATTTTGTTGGCAACAAGATGTCAGGGATTTGACATGTTTTTACCTAGGCCCTAGGCCCATGTCCATATCAAGTTCAATTCTTGGACTGATTGGAGGAGGAAAAAAAACGGCGTGCCATGGAGACTTGTTGTGCTCCTACCCCAAGTTCTCCACATTTCCCGTTCTGTACTACCCCATGCCACACCCTTTGCCATCCCTTTGCCTCTATGTGCTGAACATTTTCTACATCCAACCCAATATAATCATGACAATTTGATCCAAAAAAGGGCCTTCAATAATTCTTTGGGGGGCCTGGTGGATCACCAACCAACACAATTGAAAATGATTCTGGGAATGCCAAGGGGCCCTTCCAAAGGTAACCCCCCAAGAATAAGCCCTCTTATGAGTCGGGGTCTTTTCCCATCAGCCCTGATGAATCTGGAGCTTATATGATACGGTGGATGGAAGAAATCCTGCACCAGTTGATAGGTGGTAAACATCCCATTATTTTTAGGGTTTCAACCATCCAAGGTGAAGCAGGATTTCTTCCATCCACAGTATGTATAAATTATCCACGTCTTACCTCAACTGTAGCTATGGCCCATCCAAGCCCACCCTCGAGGAGAAAACAGCGCGGGAAGAAGCGGAAGAAGAAGCGGAGTTGGTCCGCCTTTCTGAGGGCTGGTCCCGCGCTAGAGCGGTTCAGATGGAACGTTGCTGATCGAAAATTTCAGTCGTGACGTGTATACCGTACCTGAAATGGAAAAACTTGGAAAATGTTCACAATATCCTCTAACAAACGCTGTTTCGATATGGTTCGATTGTTTATGTACATCTTTAAAGTATATAGGGAATTTTTCGTTTGCTGTGTTTGAGTACCAGAGGGAGAAGGTCCTTGGAGAAGGTTTCAGCAATCGCGAGGGAATTTTGCCATTTTGGATGTTTTTGGTTTGGGGTTTGATGTTGGGTGAAGCGTATGCTGACAGATCAGCCCGAGCCAGGCAGCTGGATACCCACCTCTTTTGCTTGTGCTGGGTGTGTTGAGCTCACCTTTCTAGATATAGGTTCTATATCATGAAACTTAAGAGGTGGAAATTTGCTCAACGTCTTTAAATTCCAATGGAGAGCCACAACCAAACAAAGTTGAGAGTTGAAAGGATCTGTGTTGTGCGTCTTGTGGTTCCAAATCGAAATTTCAGGAAGTGCACCAGACTTAAGAGAACTTAAGAGAACTAGAGACTTTAAAGAGACCTAAGGCGAATCAAATATCAAGATAGTTGTCAGGGTTGCGACATGTGTCCCATGGGTCCGAAGTAAAGACTTGTTGGGGGAAGCTGAGGTCAGCTTGCAGCCACATTGTTGGAGAATAGTAGTGAGACGAGTAGTGTCAAGCACCTTGTCTCAGCCTGACTGGCTTAGGGAAAACTTGTTGGTGAATGGATGGGAATGGGGGAATGGCTAATGATGCAGATACAATCATATACAGTAAAACTATTTTCGCAATCATCCCATTCCTTTATTATACCCTCTTCCCTAATCATCCCATTCCGCGCTACAGTAAGTTCGTTTGGGAAAATCAACGGGGGAGCCTGGAGAGTTGAACTACACGCCCAGGGGTCAGTTCCTGGACATTTTTAACTGACCAACCTTCCGGGTTCCAACGATGAAAGAGGCACAATGATTTTTACCACCCTTAATTTTACCCTCTGGTTATGACGAACATAGCCATGGGAAATGGCCCATAGAAATAGATGGCTTACCGTTCTTAAAAATTGTGTTCCATGGCGATGTGAAATAACCAGAGGGCACCAGAAATTGTATTTCAGCCATCCCCCAACCGAACTGTTTTATTGTTGTTGCATGTTTTTGCCGCATTGTTTTGCATTGATTTTCCTTTTTCGCTTCCATCCCGCGACTTCTGGGGGGTATGCTATGAGGGTGCCCTCACCACAAAATTGTCGCATTTGAGCGTTGGCCGAGTTTATACTGCCAGTTGGTTCGGGGAAAACATTCCATTGCACTCCGGGTCAGAATAAACAACCCACCCTCGACTGGACACCTCGGTCCAATGGTGGTATTTCTTGATACATGTTTTGGAAAAAAACATGTCTTACGGTGCTTATTGACTTGAAGCAAACTCAATTCACTGACGTGTTCAATGCGTTTGCTGCCAAGCATAAGTTGAACATCCAGGCTATATATTTGCGCCCCTTTGCCATCTCCCAAACCTTCAGTGAGCTGACGGCTCCAGGAGTGCCACCACCAACCTCATCCGCAATAGTCGATCTGAGTCAACCTTGGCATCCAGAGCATACTTGGACCGATCTGAAGTGGCTGTGGCTGAGAAGTATGGTGAAGTTGAAAGAAGTTGGAAGAAGTTGGAAGAAGTTGGATATGGGCTGGGCTATGCTGGGCTTCTATGGCTCCATTTTTGCCGGACAAAATAGACCTGCTAAGAATTCAATGTGTGCAGCATATCCAATGTAAAACTATGTAAAAGATGACCATTCTCCAAGTCTTCACCGAGTTGGGTTGATAGGTCCTGCTGCAGCAATAGGAAATCCACAACATCATCGTCATAGCCCAAGATCGTGTCCAAGGATTCCCAAGGTCATGCATGAAAGTGGAGCAGAGACCCCGAATGTGGCTGGTTGTTGTACAATGAAGGTTACACTCACTGGTTTCTTGAGCTTAATCGGGGTTGCCCTCGGGCCATTCAGCAGAGAATTGGAAATCACAATGTTTATATAGATATGTTTAATTAATAGGATTTAATAGGTAAGTTCACAAACTTAAGAAAGCATCCCAGATCGTAAGGTATTAGTTTGTAGGGGTTTGCCCTTCATGACTTTCAGAAATGCCTACCTGATCTCAGAAATGCCTAGGTGATTTGAAAATGACATAGGCATTTCTGAAATTTAGGTAGGCTAATCTGAAATTTGGTAGACTAATTTGTTGTCCAGAACGTTGTGCAAACAAATGTGGTTTCATATATTTTTTTACAGAATATTAAAAAAAGACAAAATATGTTCAAAAAGATAAAATCTAAAATATGGTAAAACGTTGATTGAACGTTTACCTGCTCACGATGCTAACACGTTGTGATTACGTTGGCCAGCTCAGTGTGCAGCTGAGTCATTTGTGTCAACTGTATGAACTGATGAGAGAAACTGGGCATGGATTTGACCTGTTTAGCATGGAAATTATGATTGCATGAACCACGTATGGTCCATCCATTTTCCATTTTTATCACCAAAATGGAATCACACCTTAACTTCGAGGCCTTAACTTCGAGCCTCAGGGTTGTCAATTTTGTCCTTGTTTGTTATTTGTTTGTCATGTGCTGTCATTGTTGTCATTTTTGTGATCTTTTGTTGTCTTAAAACAATGAGTATCGATGTTGCTCCCAGAACATAAATGTCCCTTGTCAAAACACATAGATCTTGTTTAATTTAATATAATATTACTTATTAGGTTTGCATTTTCAAGCTTGCCTAAAAGTCAGGTATGCAAAATGTAGCGGTTATTTCCAGTACGAGTGTCGTGTAAAAGTGTCCCAGAAGAGTGTCACAAAATCATAGCAGGAGCGCCGCTCATTTATGGACACAGCCTGCCACTAATTTACGGACATAGCCTGCCACTAATCTATGGACATTACCTTCCAGTAATTTTTGGACATAACCTGCCACTACTTTATGGACACAACCTGCCAAGATTTTATCGACATAACCTGCCACTAATTGATTGGCATAGCAACTAATCTATGGGCATAACCTACCACTAATCTACAGACATAACACCGACCCCGGATGGATCAGTCAACTCGGGCAGCAGTGTCATGCGAGAGTGTCCACACCACAAGGTTGTCCCACAGGCTGCCACTAATTTCTGGACATACCCTGCCACTAATTGTACGGACATAACCTGCCATTAATTTATGGACGTAACTTGCCACTAATTTGTGGGCATAACCTGCCACTAATTTATGGGCATAACTTGCCACTAATTTATTAATAGCTTCCCTTACCCCATTGTGTCACCCCCTTGTCTGTCAGAAGGGACGTCTTCATCCACTCCGCCGGGAGCCTTTAGGAGGGTTACAAGATTTGTTTTTATATATTTTTTATTTAGGATCCTTTTTCTGCAGGGTAGGATTTTTGTTCTTGGCATCCAGGTTCGTGGCTTCACTTGGTTAGCTAATACGGTTGTCTGCATCCTCACTTCATCTGGCCGTTGCCACTGTAATGCGTGTAGCGACAGAAGGGGGAGCTAGGATGATGAGGGGAGCGAAAGAACCAATAAGCAGACTAGTAATTTTCCGTTTGGTTTGGGACTTTGGGGGGCGCCTTTTTGACCTATTTTTGGAGCCCCTTTTTGGGGCTAAAAAGTCGCCCCTTTTTAATCCCCAAAGCAGTACCAAACCAACGGGAAAATTACCAAAGCAGACCCTCACACCCTAGAAACATCCTTCACGAAAAGGTTGAAAAAACTGTTTTCGTTTTATGGCTCAAGCGACGACGGCGACAGTGGAAGGAACAGCACTTGGAGTGCAAAGAGTGGCAAATCTTAGGCGACGCCATTTTTTCATCCCTAAACTCTATAAATGGCACTTAGGGACACTAAATTTAGCATACCTCACTTCTAGGCAAGCCTAAACATGCATACCTAAACTCCATTAATTCCATTTAGGCACACTAAATTTAGCATACCTCACTTTTAGGCAGGCACTCTTGCCACGATACTCTTGTGGACACTCTCGCGAGACACTGCTGCTCCAGTTGACTGATACATCCGTGGTCGGCGTTAAGGCCACAAATTAGTGGTAGGTTATGCCCATAAATTAGTGGCAGGTTACGTCCATAAATTCTTGGCCGGTTATGTCCATAAATTAATGGCAGGTCGCGTCCATAAACTATTGGCAGGTAATTTCCATAGAATAGTGGCAGGTTATGTCCATAAATTAGTGGCAGGCTATGGGACACTCTTGCGGGACAGCAAGAAACTCTTGCCACGACACTCTTGTGGACACTCTTGCAAGACACGGCTGCCCCGCTTGACAGATCCACCCGGGTTCGGCGTGATGCCCATAGATTGGTTGCAGGTTATGTTCATAAATTGGCAGGCTACGTCGGTAAATTACTGGCAGGTAATGTCCATATTCGTGGCAGGTTATGTGCATAAATTAGTGGCAGGTTGTGTCCATAAATTTAGGGCAGATTATGTCCATTAAATAGCAACACTTCTGCTATGATGCTATGACACAGTTTTGGGACACTCTTACAAGACGCTACTACTGGAGATGAGCGCTAAATTGAGCATACCTGACATGCAGGCAGGCACTCTTGCCACGGCACTCTTGTATAAACTCTTTTCCCAATGTTTTCCATGTTGCAACCTTCAATAAGTATTCACGCTACGGTACTATAAGCAAAAACAGTGTTTCATGAAACTTTTCTGTAAGCATTCACGCTGCGGTACTATAAGCAAAAAACAGTGTTTCATCAAACTTTTCTGTAAGTATTCATGCTGCGGTACTATAAGCAAAAGCACCATTTCATCAATTTTTTTTGTAAATATTCACATCTGTTTGCTTTCGGTTTCAAAAAGTTTGCAACAGCGTTACATTTTTTCATGCCTTTGGCACTGTCAGCAACTACCAGTTTGCTTCAAAATGTCTCAATCTGTCCCAATATGTCTCAAAATGTCTCAAAATCAACTCAATTTTTCTCAAAACTCATTTTGAGACATTTTGAGCAATTTTGAGCGGATTTTTGGGGCAGGTATGAGACATTTTGAGACATTTTGAATCGATTTTGAGCAATTTTGAGCGGATTTTTGGGGCAGGTATGAGACATTTTGAGTTGATTTTGAGCAATTTTGAGCGATTTTGAGCGGAGTTTGTTCGGCCAGCAATTTGTATATTTGAACAGTCCTTTCAATCTACATGTCATTCCTGCACAATTGGAATTCACAAATTATGGAGATTGAAGCTAGGTCGTAACGTTTTTGCCCATTTTATTTTAATATGTGTTTTAGTCTAGACGCAATCCTTAGGCCAATTTTGAGCAAACTTTTCTGGCCAGGCCCATTGCGTTTGAATACTTGTTCTGGTCTATAGCAGGCCATTTTCGAGCAATTGAAAAGATTTTGAGCAATTCTACCCACATACCATCCATATTTTATCCATCTATTATTCTTAATTTAGCGTCCATATAACACATTCAATATCGATTTGCGATCAACGTGTTATCCATAAGTTATCCATGTTTTATCCATGTATAGTATCCATTCATTGTCCAGTTATTATCCGTTTAATCATTGTTTATCCATTTGTTGTCAATTGTTTATTCATGTATTTGGCATTAATCATGCATTGGATTTAGCTATTATCAATCTATCATCCATTAATTATCCATTTACTACCCATATATCACCACATATTGTCTTGTGCTCGTCCGTTTGTTATCGATGTACTAGCAATTTATTGTCCATGTATTTTCCATTCTGTCATCATTGTTTCATCCATATGCCATACATATATCGTCCAATATTTTTTTTATTGCTTCCATATATTATCAGTTTCCTTCCATGAAGTTTCACATTTCCGTCCAAATGTCCAAATATTATCCATTGTTCAGCCATTATATCCAGCTATTATCCATTTGGCTTTATGCATTATCCATGTACCATCCATGCTTTATCCATATAAGAATACTATCCCTTTTTTACCAATTGTTCATCCATGTGCTATCCATCGGAAATCCCTCCTCCAAGATGTTTAAAGTTGAAAAAAGGCAATGCGAAATCCCTCCTCCAACAAAAGGCCAGCGTCTGGGACCAAAAGCAAGGGCAGCATTTTTCAGTATAGACTCAACATAAGGCCAGTATCTAGGACCAAAAGCAAAGTAGAAAGATAGGCCATACAAAATTCCTTGTCCAATCTGTTTGAAGTAGAAACAGGCAATACGAAATCCATTTATTTTTTTTATAAATTGAGTATCCATTTATAATCCGTTCATTTCCTGAGTTTCCATTTATTTCCAGTTTACTCGCCAAATATTTTCCAAATTAAATCAAATATGTAGATATTATCAATTTAGTGTCCACGTATTTTCTTTATATTATCCATTTATCATCCACTCATTTTCCATGTGTTACCATCCGTTTATTATCCATACAGCATCGGAAACGACGTACGGCATGGAAAACAACAAATGCAACAAGACTATGCGCAAAATCCTCCACAAATAAAATAAAGTGCGACGTTGATTATTGAACATGCGTGTATTATTGTAAAAATACATCTACATATATATATATATATATCTCTCTCTCTCTCAAATATATATATATATACATTTGTGTATATATGTTCCTTTTGCCCATTGCATGCCTACGCAGAATCACACATGTGTGCCAACATGTGTCAAAAAACGAGCCTTCAAAACAAACCTTACAAAACCACAGTCTCCACTGAAACTTTGTTCCCTTAACTAAAGTTTGTTTCTTGCGCAAACAAACCTCAATTACTGAAGAACAAACCTCAATTAAGGAAACACATCGTAATTAAGGTTTGTAAACATAAATGCTAATTAGTTAGTGCCTTTTTCAAAGGATAGGTATGTGTGCACGTCCACACATATTGACTTTTCAATTTCCAGGTCCACAACCGTATGCATGTATACACTCAAGTGTAAACAGGTATGCCAGTAGATATTCAACAATGTTCACGGTTAGATACTGTTGTAAAAGCACGCTTTTATTATATAAAAAACGTTTCATATCTATGTTCTGCTTGTATATTTCATTTCCTGCGTACACATGGTAGCGTTAAAAAAGCGTTTTTGTTTACACATGTATTTCTGCTTGCGTACATAAGACATATGTGTAAATATTTTTTGGTGCTGGCCAGTGTTGGCAATGTGACTATATGCTGGCGCAGCGATCAAACATCAAACTTTATACATTGCCCAACGAATGAAAAATGTTATTCCCTTGAAAATATTCATTTTTTCTACTTTTGAAGTTGCTGACTTGTTCGTGTTCACATGTTAGGTGGCAGCCTCATGACAATTGACCCAAGTGACAAAGGCTATTCACAACGGCAACAATGACAACACCATATTTCATGTCAGTTCAAGCTTTGAACAAAAACCAACGAAAACACACAAACGCAATACCAAATTTCATTTCAAAGGTTCATTTTTTGGTTTTTGGGTTCAAAGTTGTTCAATGTCACGTTTTCAAACCTGTGAAACACGTTGATGTTATCACGATGCTAGCACGAGTCACTTTTGGCTCAAAATAGCTCAAAAAGTACTTTTTGAGATGCCCAAAAATCCCTACAAATTAATCTCCCCACAAGCTGGTCGCCATTCCGAAGTTTGTGATAAGTCACGGAACGCGTGGGCGATCTATACCATAGCAAAATGCAACATATATCACGAATTAGCATTATTATGATTATGAATCATTTATCACCTACGAAGTGGCCGGCATGGCAACCAATGTAGAAGGGGATGACAGAAGGGGAAGCCTTCCACAACTTGCAGTCAACCAATGGGAAAATGATAGGACATGGTACCATAAACCGACCCCCCGAGTGGAGGTTCTTTGATTGATGGTGTTTACGCATGTTTACAATATGTTAGATAGTACACCCCCTGGTTGCTGATAATTTCCCTGCGAGTACTGACTAGCTGTTGAGTTATTGGTTGGTGGTGGTTGAACTCCAAAGCACATCATTGGCCCTATCACCTATCCCATTTTCCTCACTCGGGGACATCATAAGGGGCGTGTTTCTGTTCCATCCTGAGACTATTTTCTGGAAAAAAAGAACCTCGTAAAAAAAATAAGAACAACAAAACCAAATTACACACTGTGTGTATTGAATGTTGACTTCAGCTATAGCCCCATGATATCACAATATGGTAAGCCGGATATTAGACCTCCTGTTTGGAATGGTCAACTAAACAATTCCATTTCTGGTAAGCCATTAGGACCTGTGTAGGCCTTTGGGTTTGCCGCATTACATGGAGAATCGTCCCACCTAGTAATTGGTTGCCAGTCGCTGTACCATTTTGTGCGTAGTTTACATCACCATAGATCCCATTAACATTAACATTCACTACTTACATTTGATTATGTCAAATAATTTTTGTTTATCCATTTTTGCATCCGTTGTTGTACCCAGTGTTTTTCCATTGTTGATCGTGTTGTATCCACATGGATCCACGTGATACTTAGCCCCCATGTTCGCAGCAAGGTCCTCCACGCGTATCGTCCCCCCTCCCCGCTCCACCTCTACGACTACGGTGGCATCACGGTGCGGCCGCGGTCGCAGCAGCAACAGCTGCGGGGAGCCACGGGGCGTCCGGCGTATCGCCGGGAGTTTTTGGGCGTCTACTTTCCGGACCCAGATGCCTGGCCAAGGTCCGGGCACAACAAGGTGAACTAAGTGGATACTGGTTGGTGGTTTCAAACATTTTATATTTTCCATGATATATGGGATAGTCGTTCCCATTGACTAATATTTTTCAGAGGGATTGAAACCACCAACCAGGATAGATAAAACACATTGAAACACCATAGTTATAGGGTTTAGTTATATCCTAACTTATGGGGTGAAGAACGTTATAGCTATATATATCCATTAATAGCATTGAATAACCACAACTGCGCCCCTGGGTAGGATTTATATGAATTTATATGAATCCCCTGACTGATGAGAACCGCTGGCTCCCATAATCTTCTCATGCAGAATAGGGGGTTCGAACATGGGAGTAGGATGGGAGCATGGGAATGGGAGTCCTTTTCTGGTGGGGGGGTTCCCTACAAATTCCACTAACACCTGGTTGGTGGTTTGGAACATGAGTTTTATTTTCCCATAGATTGGGAATAATCATTATCCCAACTGACGAACTCATATTTTTCAGGGAGGTAGGTTGAAACCACCAAAGCAGACACTATCTTCTGCTGGGTGGGTATTTGGATTTAACCAACTTAAAACGGATGGATATCTATGGTTGATCTTGCCGTCGCATGGATACAATGCTTGGTTACTTCAACCATTTCTTCTGGGGATATCCTGGGGGATATCCTGGGGATATCCTGGGGATATGGATAAATATTGTTATATAAATTATACTAAATTATCATGTAACCAGTGATCATTTGGTGGTTGGCTTCACATATGGTTTAATGTTCAACGGTCGAATGGGGACAAGACTCAAAGGACGCTAATATATTTCAGATGGGTTGATACCACCAATCGTCTTGTTTTTTCCTGATGTTTCCTAGCATCCGATCCATATTGTTTCATGATGCTTGGTGTTGTGCTGTTGCTGGTGAAAATAAGTTTACTGTACCTAAAAAAAATACTACGATAAATTTGCTGCTTTCTGGTTCTTTGATTTTATCCCATGCCCAAGATTAATTTCTATTCCCTGGGATCTAAATGAGGGTTTGATCATGTTTTTCTGTTTTCTTGTTTCTTCATAGCATATAGTTGATGTACATAATATGTAACTATACATGCTATCATGTAATAATCACCCTCCATGGATGGGTGATTATAGTTGGTACTAGGGCATTGGTCCCCCGTTGAATCACTAATAATCCTAATTTGCAGAGCAGCTTCATGATTTTGATGGTAATGCGATAAACCCGGTAAACTAAATGCTGAATCTCAAATGTGATTATATAAACTCATTTCCGCTAAGTCATGTCTAAGACTTGGGATATTGGGATGATTTTTGCTGAGAACGATCCCTTTTGTTATTTAAAAATTGGGAGGGTGTGCTGAGTTTGCTGCTCTCTGCTTCATCACATTTTTCCGAAACACCGCGAATTCACCGAGGAATTTAAGCAAGGACCTTATGGATCTAGCCTGCAGGATCCCATCCTGATGCCTCCAATGCACTGGGTCAAAAGTTCCTCAGCGCTTGAGCTCCGGAGTCATGGATTGCTGGAAAACCATGGAAAACCCACCATTGATTTCTATGATTTTCACCAAAGAAAAACGCTATTTATGGGTGATATCCCAGCCATGGTACTTGATTGGCAAGTGATATGAATCGGTGAAGTATTGGAACACCTTGCCGCTTTTATACCAAACCCGTCAAATAATTTATATATATATATTATATTATATATATTATGAATCATTATTATTACTTTTCTTGTTATTATTGATTTGTGTATATATATATATATAGATATGTGTGTGTAGCATATACATGTAGAGAGAGAGAGAGAGTTATACGTATATATTTTTTGCATTAAACAAATAAATAGGTTTACTCATACAATATGTACGGATAGAGTTCTACACTTTGTGTGTATATATATATACATACACATTATATTCATTTGCCATCATTTGCTATATCCAAAACTTTCTGGTCACACTCATCACCATAATGTGTGAATCAAATGTGCCCATGTTTGTCGGTTGCGCACATCTTTGCCTTCGATCCAATTGAAATTTGGTTTGTGTTGGTAACACCTCCCTGTTTGTTGGTTGCATGTTGCCTTGGTAATCCTCTTTTGTAGTCGCTTATCATTGTTGTATGACCATTCCACTTTTTGCTGCTTAGCTGCCAGCAAATTCCCAACTCTTGTTGCTTGGTGCCCCTGTTTTGTTCCTGCTCAAATCCCTTCTTGTTGGTATGTTTTTTTTACATCACCACTTTTGATCCTTGATCATCCTTTTTTTTTGTGCGCTTAAATCCTCATTTCTGTTGTTTGTTTTTTCTATCCCATGTTGTTTGCTGGTTTAATTCGTTGTCGACTGACAAGATCCTCCTTCTGTACTACCAATATTTAATTCTGTAGGTTCACAGCAAAAAATATGTGAGATGTTGGATAGACAAAATTAAAGTTCAGATGCTGAAAGATAAGGGTTCTATCTTTTGTGGACGTTTGATGCAGCATTCATGTTGTAGCTAACATTTCCAAGATTTAACATGATAGAATTGTCTATATATGTTGATAGGCTGCAGCCCTTGGGTTGTGAACCTCCCTGGCTGGTCCAGCCAGGGAGATCTGACAAGTGTCAGCCGGCATAACCGTAAAAAAACCCTTTTGAAATAGTGGTAGAACCCCATACCCCTATTTGTACATATACAATTCATATACACATACACAGAAATTACAACTATGTAATTATATTTGGATACATATATATATATATATATCTATTTATTTATGTATATTTATATGTATATATATATATGTATATCTCTGTCTGCGTGTGCATATTCTAATCCCATAAACTATCACCAGTTCCAACCAAGCCCACGTCCGTTGAGGTCAACAGTACAGCAGCCCCCCGGAGCGCTACAACGGTGATGCGAGCGACCTGCGTCCGCGCACGGCGGAGGGCCACAATCGGCCCATGAAGCTATGGCGATGGCCAACTGCTGGGATTGAACTATCAAAATTCGGGATTTTGTTCGAAAAAATAGGTTTTTCTTAGGGTTACCCTCTGGTAAACTAATATAACTATGGAAAATCACAATTTTTAATGGTTAAACTTTTCAATGGCTATGTTAGTTTACCAAAGGGTAAAACCTCGGGTACTTGTTGCTTGAATCTTTTTGCGATCACCGGGATATACCCAATCTGTACCCAATAGTTGTGCGAGGTGATTTTTTTTCGGACATTTACCAAACCATTTCAAATACGTCCTATGTTCAACTTGTAATTGCACTCCACCATAAAACCATGTAATATAGCATTCACTACAGCGTTGCGGCTCAGAGGAAAAGGTGCTGAGTCTCTTGCTTAGCGGTTGTATTTGTCCCTTTAGGTTTATCAGTCCATTTGGGTATAACTAGGTTAACCCTTGCTGAAACCTGAAAATACAGGTTATCAGCCGTAGTCTCGTAAAGCCATGGAAAGGACAACTGGTGACACCTCAGGTGGAGGCGCCCTTGTCCCCTCGACTGGAGCAACGGTTGCAACAACTGGTTCACAACAAAGCTTGCCGGCTGGGACAAACCCCACGCCCATGTCAGTGGATGAAGGTTTCTTCACACAGCCCGTGCAAGCATATTTCCAGTTCGTGCAAAACAATCTTACCTACATCAACGAAGGTAACATTGATGCTTTCAGGCAAGAGGCGGAGGAGAGGCACACACATCTCATGGAGCAAAAGGTCCAGCAACTGTACCAAGAGTTTGAGGGAATTTGCCTTAGCGAAATTGCCCAGCAACGTGCAGAAGCTGATCGCAGACATGAACACCTAGTGTCAGAGTATTCAATGTCCCAAACGGCAACTGAGCATGAGGTAGCAAAACTGAGACAGGAACCTAGCGATGCAAACGCAAAGCTGAAGAACGCTGCAAATGCAGTTGCACTGGAAGCTGAGCAAAGAGCCAACCAAAAGGTAGCCCATGTTACAGCCCAGTATGAACAAAGGTTTTCTGAACTCAGAGGTAGCCTCGAGGCAGACTGTAAACGAATCGTGGACGAAACAGTGGAGTATGCAAAGAATGGCATGGAAGGTTTCAAGAAGGAGGAACAAGCTGTAATCCAGGAGATTAGAGAGGAATGCAGTAGGCAGGAAAACCAAGCTGCTGAACTCAATTTCCAATTGCAGGGACAAGTCGAGGATTTGATGGAGAAGCTCAACAAGTACAGCGCCCCGGAAATCAGTGTCGACAGAGCCGTCGAAGTTGATGATGCACAAGGCGGGAATAATGTCGATTTGTACATGACCCCAAAATCAGCGGTCGGTACCAAGGCTGGAGCAGAACCCATGCCAAACACTGGTATGAGTAGCTTAGCCATGGACGCTAAGGAAAGATTGAGCAACTTGTTCTCAACTACCCCTGCCGGATCAGCAGCCCCTCCAAAGCTTCCACCATTGCCAGTTCAAAGACAAAATGATGACGATGCAAACCAAGAGCATAGTGTGCCCAGTCCTACAGTTATAGCAAGCGACCCTGGCAAGAAAGCAGCTGAAGCAGGCTTAGGTCTTTCAGGTCAACAATTGCTAGATCTCATCACTAGACTGACTTCAAAGGATTCAGATGGTGAAAAGCCCCGAACAAAAGAGGCAGAGACTATCAAACTGAACGACATGCCTGCCCCAGAAGCTTATCGCCACTGGCGTAATCATGTCAGGGATGAAGTGAAATCGTGCTCCGACAAACCCGATGAGGCTTGGCTTTGGCTCAATGAAGTCTTTGACAACAAAACCCCTAGGGAAAAGTTGGAGGAAAAGCTGCAGGATCCTGGGAAGTTTATCACACTTGACACCAAATTGTCGGCAGCGTTAACTCGCTCAGCCAAAGGTGATTTAGCGACAAAGATCCATAACTTCAAAGATGAGAAGTCAAAGAAAGGGATCCAAGTCAGAGGTAGGAGAGTCCTTTTGATGTTTGAAGATTACTTCAGGACGTCTGAGGAAGCTGGCAGTCTCTACCGCGTCGAGGACCTACTTGGAGTCGTTCGCACTGGAGAATCTGTGGAGGACCTTAGAAGGTTTCTGAACCGATGGGACGCCACAATTGCCGGCATGGAAACCCCACCAGATGATTTGGTTCTCAGAGACATCTTACTCAGACAAATCCGAAAATGTCAATTGATGAAGTATGACATCGAAGCATTTGACAGAGCTCCTGAAAAGTCAGAACAAAAGTCTTATGCATTCTTGTTGAGAAACATTCGTGACCTTTTGGATAGAGAAAGACTCCGTTCAAACAGAAACAGAATCGTTGAAAAGAACAAGCAGACCGAAAAGCCTCAGCCCGCTGCACCCGCTCAGGGGGGCAAAGATCGCGGCAAAGGAAAGGGCGACCGAGGTCGAACCCGTGGCCGTAGCCAGAGTAGTAAAGGGGATAAGATATGCTACAAATTCAGGGATGGCAAATGCGAAAAGGGTAAAGACTGTCCCTACAAGCATGTCAAAGATTCCTCAAGATCTGGTACCCCCAAAAGAAAGGGTAAGGGCAAAGGTGGTAGCAGAAGTGGTTCCCCCAACAGAAAGTCGAAGGAAGAGATGGCCAAGACCCCATGCACTTACTTCCAACAGGGCAAATGTCGTCGTGGTGACAAATGTTTTTACAAACATGAAGTTGCAGCTGCACCCACAAAGGATCCAAAACGCACCAATAGCCCTGCACCAAAGAAGAAGGCCAGTGCAAAAGCTGCGCCATGCATTGCTCAAAGGTATGCATGCATAGCAAAGGGAAAAGGGTTGCCAAAAGCTACAAAGGCCATGAAAGAACAATGCCATAGAGCCGTTGTGTTTTCATCAAAAGTGGAATACATCAAAGTCCCAGCAACAGGTGAACAGAGGAAGGTAGTGCACAAACCCCGAATCTATGAGAAGACGTTCCCTGATTCAGAGTCAGTGCCAAAACCCGACAAACTCGTGGCTCACCGTGCTCAGGTTTCGGCCCGACAGTTGCAGGAACTTGTGAAGCTCTTTGGCAGTGAGACGCAGCCCAAGTGCCGATTCCGATGCAATGACCCAGAAGGGGGAGCATCATGCAACCACTGTAGAGCAATGATCGGTCCCAAGAACAAAGTCAGTAACACTCATTTGCCCACTGTTGCTACACCGGCATCAAAAGATGGATGTGTTTGGTTGGTTGACACTGGCAGTGAACAGGATTTGATCAGTGAGGGTATGCTGAAGACCGCAAAGGCGACAAACCGCCGTATCAGCGATACTCCAATCAGCCTTGCTACAGCAAACGGTTCGACACGAGCGGATGAGGTGGCCGACGTAAAAGTCGATGCCCTACATCAGCCGTTTTCACCATACATTCTTGAGGAAACTCCTGCTGTTCTTTCGGTTGGGGTCAGGTGTATGGAACAGGGTTACAGTTTTGTGTGGCCAGCTGATGGTAGGCCTTACTTCATTCGTCCGGACATGGGAGTCATTGAGCTTAACGTAGACGGCCGTGTGCCGGTCATCGATAGCTCTTGTCGTGTTTTGAACAGTGGACAGTTCAAGAAAGATTGTGATCTGTTACGTCTTTTTGCAATGGTTGCTGCAAAAGCAGAAGGTGCCGATGAAGAAGGCGTGGATGAGGGAGTAGCTCATGATAGCGAAACCGAATACGTCAGGTCTAGAAAGGCATCTGACCTTGAGCAAGAGGCATGCAGTAAGTCTCACCAGTTTTGCCATTACCCCAAGAATCCATTTTGCAAGATCTGTCAGAAGGCGCGCATGATGGCGCCACCCGCAAAGAAGAAAGGGGGACAGAAAAGGTTGGAAACCAAAAGCTTTGGGGATCACATTGTCGCTGACCATACTGTAATCAAATCCAATGTGGAAGAAGGCGTCAAAGGTGAAACAGTGGCATTGGTGATGAAGGACATTCACACTCAGTTCAGACACGTCTTTCCAAGCCAGACAAAATCGAGCGAATCGTGTGTTAATGCTTTCAACCACTTTTTATCTCACAAGGATGAAGTTGGGGCAGTTTACACTGACAATTCACGAGAGCTTATTGCTACAATTTCAGAATTGGGGTACAGACATCAAACATCAACAGAGTACGTGGACAGTTCAAAGTCGTTTGTGGAGAGGGAGATCAGGCACATGCTTGAAGGCACACGCACAAACCTCGTGCAGTCAGGTCTTCCATTGCAGTATTGGCCAATGGCTATGCAGCATTTCTCCATGGCAGTGAATGCCACGCCACAGCTCAACGGTGATGATGCCCCATGGAAACTCAGATTCGAAGAAGATTTTCCAGGTCAGTTGATTCCTTTCGGTGCAAAGATACTGTTTTGGAACAATCCAAAAAGGGTTGACAACACATCTGGAAAGACATCACCAACAGCAAATGATGGAATCTTTTTGGGATACCACATTCAACCTGGTTTTGCATGGAAAGGTGAGTATCTTGTTGCCAAGTTAGAAGCATTGGATTACCATGCAGAAACGGGCAGCATCACAGTGCAGCGAGCACGACGTGTTGAGCTCATCGCGGGAGGTTTTGTCTTCCCACTCCGTGCATTGAAAGAGGCCAAAGAGCCCAAGCCGGACCGCCTAGTCGACAATGTCATTGCTGATCCTCGTCCGATTCCGTTTCAATCCGAAGTGCAAACAGAGGAACATGCAGAAGAAAGTGAAGTAGCAATTGACAAGTCAACGGAGGCAGTGCTTGACGCACTTGCCAGTGATGAAAGGCCGGCTGAGGAACCAGTTTTTCCTGATATCAAGTACACTCCAACTGGTACTCCAATCCCGGATGGTTATCATTGGGACGGCACACGCCTTGTGAAAACGTACAAAGGGTCAAAACGCCCTGAGTCGATTCCATCGGATTTTTGGAAAATGCTTAGTCCGAAGGATAGGCAAAAGCTTGTTGAGGAGGAGGCTGAAAAGATGGCTGTGGGCAGCGGTGGTGCTGCATCAAGTTCAGCGTCAAAGG